GAAGGCAGTCGCTTAACCAACTGAGCCACCCAGGCGCCCCTTATTTATTAATTTGTCAGAGAGAGAACAGGCACACAAACAGGGGGAGCGGCAGGCAGGGGGAGAGGGAGAAGCAGGCTCCCCACTGAGCAGGGAGACCGATGTGGGACTCCATCCCAGGACCCCAGGATCATGACCTGAGCTGAAGGCAGATGCTTAACTGACTGAGCCACCCGACGGTCCCAATAAATACATCTTAAAAAAATAAAAAAAACTGACATCCTCTTTTGACCATAGGGCCTGGTCATGAGGTAGCACAGAATGTGGCTAAGGGCACACACGTCAGAGTTGAACCCTGGTTTCATACTTGCTACTTAATGTGACCTCCCTGAGCCTCAGTTCCCCTCATCTGTAACAGCTACAATACCTGCTTCATACAGTTGTTGGGAGGGATAAAAGGGAAAATGTAGTTATACATCCTCAGCACAGGGCCTGCCAGTTCCTAAGTGATCAGTAATCACAATTATTCGATCAGGGGACCTGTACGCATGTCCACAGCACACACATCTGTCCTTTCCACCTGATCTCAACACCACAAACCTTCTTAGAGCCCAGTCACCTGTAACTCTGTGTGTTTCCAGAGATACAGAGATTCTGGGGAGGCAGGAGGTAATGAAAGGCATTTGTGTTCATTTATAATATAATATATTGTTAGAAGTAGAGGTACCAAGGGGAGTCTGGTGAAATCCTCTGATTCTCTGGGTTACCTGAATCTATTATTTCTACAGAGGATCCTAAAACTCTTTCACAAGCAATAAAACCAGTATGGTCAGTATGGGGATATTTCACGTGACTCATTCAGCCCAAAGCCACTTCAAACCACTGCTTAATCCAACATAAGTTTTGGCTCATTATGTAAGAATCTCCCAAGGAAAATCAAATTTCTCTTCTGTATATACTACCTGTTAGCAGTGATTATCTGCAGGTGTGGGATATCAGAGGCCTGTCACTTTCTTTTTTCTTTTTAAATTTGCTTACAGGTTACTTAGCTTTAATGAAATAAAACATTTAAATAAAGTTCCCTTTAATTACTACCTGCAAACAGATTCTCTATGCAGCACCCCCCTCCCCAAGGCACTCAGCACCCTCACACCAATGCGCATATTCCTTCCAGTACACTTGTATACATTTTATTTAGAGATAGGTCTACTCACATTCAGTGTAAGAGTTTGTTTGCGTAGTTTAATTAGTTTCATATCTGCAGAATGCCAGACCCTTTCCTACCTTGACACATTGTTTTTGAGACCCATTATTCATATAGCTCCAGCTAATGCCTGTAACTACTGCATGCACTGAATTATTCCTTCCTATAACCTCAGTACACGTTGTTCTTCAATTTCCCCATGGATGGCAAGGTGGCTTCCTAGGTTTTTGCTAATGTAAACTACGGGGCAATGAACATCTGTGCATGCCGATATATATTTCCAGTGCGTTCTACCTCACAGACTTCTGTAATGCTTGACTTTTGGTACTGAGGACGTATTAATATTGTAACCAGAAAATTCTATACAGGGAGATCCTTTCTTAATTTCCTTTTTGTCAGTTCTCTCTTTAGTTCCTGAGTGCTGTGGTCAAGAAGCTAAGAATAGAGACACACATTGAATTCACCACCCCAAACTCCCATTCAACTTTACCAGAACCTAGCTCACCCCTTCAGGAAACAAATTACAACTACAACAGCACCCACATAATGGAGTTACATCACCATTATCTCGTAAGCTCAACAGCATCACTGTTATCCCAGCTTTTACTTAAGGCTGTGTGAACATGGACACCCCCCACAGCCATGAGCCAGACACTTTCTAAGGGCGGTATAAGGATGAACTCACTCCAGCCTCACAGCAACCCTAGGATGTAGATGGGATTTTTACCCCATTTTACAGATGTGGTAGCTGAGGTACAGAGTTAAATAATTATACCACCCTCCGTATCCCCCTCTTCCCTGCCTTGTTCTTCTCCATAGTGCTGATTGCCTTGGCCATACTATGCATTTCACTTATTTGTCTGTCTCTACTATCCAGGCCACAAACTTCCCACAGGCAGGGATTCCTGTCTGTTTTGTTCATTGGAACTGGGAGTACTCAGGAAATGTCTGTTGAATGAATGAACCTGCCCAAGTCAACGCCAATGAGCGGCAGGCAGTCTGAGTCCAGAGTGCAACGTGGTCTCTAACAATATTCTGGTGTTCATTATTATTATCAACCAACGTGGGAGTCAGGAAGATGGCACAGTGGGAGGATCCTGAGCTCACCTTGTCCCACAGACATACCAAGATAACAGCTACATCTGTGCAATGAACTCTGAAAACGACCTGAAGACTGGTAGAACAGACCTTCCACAGTTCATCATGGACAGGAGGCCACACTGAAAAGGGTAGGAAGGTCAAAGACACAGTTGGGAACCAAACCCCTGGCAAGACTAACCACAAAGGGGAGGGACACCACAAGTGTGGAGAAGCAAATGCAAGAGATCAGACCCTACACTAGGCACACCAGGCACTGGGGACTCACATTGGGAAGACAAGTCCCCATAATACCTGGCTTTGAAAACCAGTAGGGCTTAACTTCAGGAGCTTTTAAAATAAGCAGGGCTTGGGGCGCCTGGGTGGCTCAGTCGTTAAGCATTTGCCCTCGGCTCGGGTCATGATGCCGGGGTCCTGGGATCGAGGCCCGCATCACGCTCCCTGCTCAGCGGGAAGCCTGCTTCTC